TTAGTTAATATAAAAATCTACACATGTTCGTCACTGACAGCATTGTCATTGACAATTGACATGGTTTGCCTTGACTATGACTGTTAGCTCAAATGAGTGACCAAAGCAGAATTGTCAATATCACCGTGTACTGTCGAGGTTTTGCAGCACTTAACCAGACTATCAGTTGTATCACTGCTTAATTTTCGTCTCTTGGAACTAAACATCTACACAGTTCGAAAAAGTAGTGTAAATTTCTGTTCAACATGATGCACATCAATGGAGCGTCACATATCATATAAGTTTACATTATATATCATGTAAACTTCTGACACATTTCATGCAATGTAGCAAATATTGTATACAAAAGCCCATATTTGTAAACAACATTGTTTACAAGTTGCTCGGTTACGTGAAATGAAATACAAGTTTACGTGAATGAATGTTTACATCACAATTAAAATTCAGAATTTTTATCTGTGTAGGGCAGGACTCGGCAGCTGTTGGTTTCTGGTACTGCTCTTCTGTCTATCGTTGCATAATATTTCTCGCTTGATCCCGAGCGTGATCCAACTGTCAACTGCACATATCAGCAAATCTGCGAGTGGTTACAAAGCTGTTGGGTTCTGCCCAAGCTTATCCTGTTTGCAACGCCGTTAATTGTTAATACACTGAAACATTCGGAATTGTATTAAAAAAATAATAATATCTCTTAAAAATGTATCAAAAATTACCACTTAATTAACCAAATAAAGAAACCATCAACAAGCTAGGATGTTTTTATTATTGTGGTATGGATGTGCTAGTTTAACTTCCAGCTGATCGAGTGGTCATCTCAGTTGTCATGGTAAAATAATATGCGTGCGCACGGTACAAACACAAAATGCACAAACAAAAAGCTGCACCTGAATATCAATACGCCTTTTTAATGCACCACCAACGTAGAGTGCAACACGCGAGTTCGAGAAGAAACGTCAACCAAACCGTTTGTTTACATCATAATAACTATTTTTCACAACGCAAATTAAAGCATTTTTCATTAAACATCTTGCCAACTTCTATCGGTAATTGTCCTATTGTACGATCTTCCACTGATCTGAACTGATTTGTACCTTAACTATTCACACACAAGAAATCCGGAAGATCATAACCACTAAGGCACTTTTCAAATTTTTCATTTTACTCAACAAAAATATTCCTGAACACCAGCAGGATCTTTGCAAAAACGTTACAGAATTAAATTTTTCAACTTTAGATTAAGTTTTCGAGCATCTCAAATGAATCAATTTATCAGGAAAAGTAAAAAAGTGTTCCGCTTCCTATGTCTCAAGGCAAAAATTTCTGCTCAAAACACTCTTTTTGACGTTCTCCTATTCACCACCAGAGGTTGAATCGATAGTTTAGTTCCCATTAAAAAGGCCTATAGATTGCGCTCATGACAGTGTTGAAATTATTTTGTTCGGGAAATGATTAACTGAGCTCTCTATTGTAATTATTTCTCTAAGGTATTTTACAAACAATCGCAGCTTGCTCTATGACCGTCACAATCGGCACACCTGGGGCACACTTCCAAAAAACTACCAAAAAGTGTGCTGCGTGGAAAGACCTACCCCTTGGGATAAGCTTTAAAATGGTTATAAAGTAAGAAACTGAGTCAAATTGTCGAATATGCTTTTGCTGATTCCTTCAGATCCGCTTATTTGGATGATTAACTTTTTGGTCATAGGGGATATGGATGTAATGTCGGCCTAAATGCCCCTAATTTTGACCCATACATAAATTCAGAAATCGACTGAATTTTCAATAGCGACCAAAATATCCATTAGTACCGTCCCAATGCGTTCATCTAGATAAAATTGATAAATAGCAGATTTTTAGCGACGGGCCCAATCTTAGATCCATAGGCCAACATTAGAGCCATTTCCTCTATAACCATAAACTCTAATTGTGAGCACAGTCCATAAAATTATGAGAACGAATGATCAAAAGAATCCCCACCAGTTTTTGCAGCAATTCTCGCGTCAATTTTCAAATAGACCAATGTAACATATCCACCATTTTGAGAAAATCGAAGTTGAAGTTCAACAGATTATTATTTTAACTGTTTAGAAACAATACATTTTTAATGTAGTCAGTAAATAAATAATAACGTTGAAAGTTCACCATTTTACTTTGAATTGTATGCTACAATTTATAGAAAAAAATAGGACGTTTTGACTAGTCAAGTTGTACATCGGACATGTTACATTGGACGATTTTTCTCAATGAAATAATCAATGAGTATTGCATTGTACGTATTTTCTACATGATACTAGATTTCCATTCACAGATTCCAGAGTAGAGAACCTAACTTTAGATTGGTCCCGCCTTTAGAAAATGAGCACCAATCATGTTAGTCAGTCCGAATAACCGAAGTAACAATCATGTACCCATCATTTCAAACTGTACATTGGGCAATTTTTTACCTATGATTATCTTAAAAAAATGAAAGTTAATTAAAATGGATGTTTATGTATCACATACAATGATAGAAGAGCAACAGTTTGTATCGCTTAACTCGATTTGTTTACATTTGTTACTTAGGACCTTTTTTAAAAGTGACGCGAAATTCATAAAAAAAAAACCTGCAGGACCATGGACATTATCCCGGATATTTAAAATTCTGGGTACTGAAATATTTCAGAGTACTTCTGTCAACTGTGGTTTTTCAAAAGGGCATCATATCGGTAAAGAAGATCATTGCATGACAGTTTACCAGCAGTCTTCTTCCATGAATCAAAACAAAACACACGAGGATAAACGATCAAAACAAAACAGCTAAAAATGGTTCCAAAGTGTGTCGTATGTGACGAAAATAATCAAAAATATAAGTGTAAAACATGTGAAGTACCTTAGTAAGTAGCCAATTCAGCATCATAAATGCTAAAATATACCTTTAGGCAGGATTGATCCACTCACTTCGCTATAAAAACATAAAACAGGCTAATTTCACTTTCAGAGAGTCACAACCCGCGATTTTATGATTCGTGAGCGCTCACGAATCGTAAAATCGCGGATTGTGACTCTGAAAGCAGAATTTACAGGTTTTATGTGTTAAACACATACTACGCAACATTGTAACTTACAAGTATATTATATCATTATGACATCTAATGATTTCATAATTCCAAAAAATATTTTTTATAGCGAAGTGAGTGGAAGCTACCTTGCCTGCAGGGAAGTGTACGATAACCCAAATGACATAACTATTCCACAAACGGTATGGATGATAATCTGCAATAAAATAACCATACAAGATTTATTACGGAAACACCACTAATTTCAACTGACAGCATGGTGCAAGTTTCCTAGAAGCCAAGTTATTTATAAAAATAGTAGGGTAAATGACGGCTTCGGCACCCATTATCCTTTTTCGGCAACCAAATTTTAAACGATAATTTCACTGTATTTTTCCACGAAAACAGCTGAATGTATTCTAACGATAACGGCTAACTAGACTATCAGCACGGAACGAAAATGAAAATGAAGCACGCTTAGACCGAAATGCTGACTGTGGAAATTCTCGTCGTTGCTTTGCTCATCGCTTTCAATGAAAGTAACGTCGATTTTCTAGTTAAACGAAACCTTATTACTGCTTTCAATTCCTTTCACCGACACTCGTATCACTTCAATTTGTTTGATATGCGTTATGACACGTTTTCGTTACTTCTTTTTTAGATAAATATGTGGATGGAAGATAACTTAAACATATTACGTGTAATCTTCAAGTGTTTTCACGGGAGAAATGCTTTGAATACATATTTTAATGTTCCGTCATTTCCGCCATGAAACTATCAAAGTGATTGAAAATTTGTTTGCAGACGCCGAGTGAGGTTCTAGAATGCTACGAAGCTGCTCGACTTCAACAAGAAAATAAAGCTAGTAGTCTCTTCGTCACATCGATTTTGTCGTTTGAAGCTGATATTGTGACGCTCTGGTCCCCACACTCACCTGAGAAGCTTGGAACGTTGTAGAAACAGTTGTCGATTTGAATTGATACAGAAACAAGCAGCACGTCAATGTGTGTGCGATGCTCAGAAAATGCTAATAGAAGCACGGACCATGCTAGATTGACGAGAATACGTAAATTCTAGATAGAGCTGGAAGTAGGGCGTAACAGCTTTTGAAAACAATGACTTCAATCGATTATTTCTAGAAATTTAAGGCTCGCCAGCTCAAATCAACATCACCATCGGTTATGTTGGTTTGCGTGGGTGTGCCTTGAATTCCTTGAAATTATCGAGAAAAGTCATTGTTTACAAAAGCTATTACGCCCTAATTACAGCTCTATCTAAAATTCCCATATTATAATCGTAACATTGCATACCTTTCTGCATTCAAAATAGCATCTATTCACTAAAAACTACGAAAAACTCATGTCAATTTTGACATAACATTGAAGTCACAAAATTTTCAATCAAACCTAATCAAACGTTCTTTTTGTTAATTTCAATTTACATGTCATATTTATTACTTGTTTCTAAGCTATACTAGTAATTTCTGCTGTAAAACTCATGAGGATTTTTGCGCATATTTTACCGTCAATTGTGTATTTCACTTTCTATTGGTACTGATTTTCAGCTGCTCGTTGCAATGCTACAAGAAGCATCAGGAAGCCCCATGCGAACCACCAACCAAAGTCCAGACCGCCAATGATTCCCACACCATTTCGAAGGAACCACTATTTATGACATTTGACACCGTAGATCCAGAGAAGCTTGAGCAATTAGGTTCGAACCATCAGTAACCCTCTATTTCCGGTTATTATTTATTATTTATATAATTCAAGGACAATCGGATTCACTGAAGAACCTCCTCTACAATCCACACCTCCGGAAACTTCTCCAGGAAATCGATTCCGCTCCCGACGGAATGAAAGCCATGCGAGTGGGAATGATGGAACCTCTTTTCGTAGAATTCGCCGATGAATGTCTAAAAGTGGTGGAACCTCCCATCGGCGAAGAAAATAAAACATGAGAATGTAGACTCGACCTCACGTTTTCTCTCTCTTTATTTTACCAAATAAAACTATGTATGTACAAACAATACTCGTGTTTAAGATTCCTACAGTAGAATAAAAGCAACAATACAATGCTAGTTCCTGAGCACAACCGCACAGTTTCACACGGTTTTCGCCTCACAGCTCACTTTTGTTGGCCACGCTCGTCTCGCTGCTGCCGGCCGTGTAGAGGAAGAGATCATCCGGCAGGGTACTCTTGTCCAGCTCCTCGCCCAAAGCGTGGTAGCGCTGCCTCAGTAGATAGGCGGCCGCCTTCGGTTGTCGGTTGCGGGTGAAGATACCCTTCTTGTTGCCTCCGACCCGGGTGTACGCTGTAAGTCGAAAAGGAATGGGATTATCCTGAGTTTCGTCCCGGGGGTGCCGACCGTGATCCTTACTTTGAGCCGTTTTGAAGTCGGCAAAGTTCCACACGAATTCTCCGATGAAGAAGTGTTGCTTGCGGAGGTCGTCGAAGGCACGGAAATGACGGCTGAAAACCTGCGATTGGTAGTCCTCGGACCAGATGTAGGCGGGCAGCTGTTGGGAACGAGAAATAGGCGGTTAGTCAACTGTGGCGTTCCTCCTAAAAAAGAAGCATGCAGAGCGGGGAATTATAGTCACCATGTGCAATCCTTCCATGGTATCGGCCCCGTATTCGGACATAAGAACGGGTTTGTTGTGTTTGGCATTCCAGGATTTGGCCTCTTCAACGACTCGGTTCGTGATCATATTCAGTTTGCCGGCATTTGAATACCATCCATTGTAGCGGTTGAAACTGATTATGTCTAGATGCTGTGCCTGTGTGTGAGTGAAAGAGATGGATAAATGTTTTCGTTCATTTTCTTTTCATCCCTTTTCGTGACAGGGACTGAGCAAACTGTAGCGATGTGGAGCACCCATCTCGCATCAGCAGTCGTGGCCGAGTGGTTAAGGCGTCTGACTCGAAATCAGATTCCCTCTGGGAGCGTAGGTTCGAATCCTACCGGCTGCGCATTTCTTTTTTGCTGATGGAATGTGATTTTTCTACGCGACATCGATGCGAGAGACTTCAACGCGCATGACACGGCGAACTTGAAGGTTGGAAACTTACCGCTCGGTCATCGTTGACTCCCACAGCGATGGCGGCCGTCACCGGTCGAGAAGGATCCAATAGGCGCGTGTATTTCGCAACAGCTTCAAAGTAAGCGTCCGCAGCGAACAAACCGGTACGGGGTTCGTTGGCGATGGACCACATTACTACACTGGGATGGTTGCGATCCCGGTGGATCAGCTGCTCGATGCTGGACTTGTGCTTCCCCAATAGGATTTGCGAATAGTTTCTTGAAATGAAGTCTCGATTAAGCATTTCTTCAGAGAATGTTTTGTGAAAATATACTTACTCTGTATCAACACTGGGACACTCGTCAATTATCATAATACCGTGTTCGTCTGCGAACTGCATGCTCTCTTCAGAGTACGGATAATGTGATGTACGGTAGGCGTTTGCTCCAACCCACTTCAAGAGATTGAAGTCCTTGGTCAGCAGTGCATAGTCAAGGCCTTTTCCTCGGATCTACGAATGAAACAAGCTTAATTGTTACGTCCAAAAAGATCTGAGCTCACTCTTACATCAGAATCCTCATGCCTTCCGAACCCGCGGAAGTAAATCGGGCGACCATTGATCAGCAACGACGTATTGTTCCACTCCAATGTCCTCACACCGACCTTCATCCTGTACACGTCATAAATCTCTCCAACAGGCTCTGAAGCCTCATTACTCTTTCCCTGTAGCGTGACTTCCATACTGTACATATAACCTGGCTCCTCATGCATCAAATATGGCCACCATGGCTTTACATCTTTCACTACAACTACTCCCTTGAGCTCCGCCCCTGCGGTGCTGTCCACTCCCACTACCGTCCCATTCTTGTCTATAATTTTCACCGTTGCCTGAAGGTCGTTGGTTCCGTTCAGATTGCTCCTGATATTGTAGTAGATGTGACCTTCTTCATCCACCAGATCGGTGCTAACCGCAACGTCACGGATGAACACTCGCGGAACCGTGTACAACATAACCGACCGGTGAATGCCGGCATAGTTGAAGAAGTCGAACGTGTAAGTTTGCACTAGCTCAACACCTCCGTCCACCGGTTGATTCTGCACCTTACCCTGCGGCACCGTTACCTGCAGTAGCACGTTATCGCACAGCACCGTGATGCGGTTCTCCGCTCCATACTTGAGTTCCGTCGAGATGTCCACCTCGAACGGAAGGTGACCTATTTCATGCTTCGCTACCTGAACTCCGTTGATCCACTGCAAGATTGGAACCGTGAAACTAAATTCTTTACCAAACAACGACTTAACACACTTACCACTATCGCATCGTAATGCACGGATCCGAATCGCACAAACACCCGCTGATCCTCAGTGCCCCAGGATTTTGGCACGAAAAATTTCCTATCATACCACACCGTTCCGACGTGATCACGCAGGGCCGCATCTTCCGTCACATCGTTGTAGCTACTCGGCACCGGCATCCCGACGGTGGGCTTGAATTTGCTCAAGTCATCGCTGAACCACTTCTCCCGTAAACCCTGCGATGGGTTGTTGCTATCCGACCGGACAAAGTTCCACATCCCGTCCAGATTCTTCACCTCACGCGTTTCCGATTCGCTGAAATGAAACTCCCAAATGAGTTCGGATGACGAGGGAAAAATTGAGGCTAGAGATCTTACCGAGGGTACATCAGCCCTACCGTTGAGCTCTCGTTTCCGTTGGTGAACATGGCTCCGAATACTGTGTTGACCATATAACCAATTGCTCCCATAATCAGGAATGTGAGAGCTGTGAAGTAAACATTTGAAATGGAATCGATTAGAAGTTATAAATTAGCATAATAGGGGAAATGGATGTAATGTCGGCCTAAATGCCCCTAATTTGGGCCCATACGTAAATTTAGCAATCGACTAAATTTTCAATAGCGCCCAAAAATATCCATTGGTACGGTCCCAATGACGTATTAATCTAGATACAATTGATAAATAGCAGATTTTTAGCGATGGACCCAATCTTAAATCCATAGGCAAATATGAGAGCCATTTCCCCTTGCTCTAGCCAATCACCGCTTGAACAGATTCTGTAATTTGGTCGTCGGCATATTTTTCATTGGAAATTGTGTAAAATTAATTGACTTTGGGTAAAGTAAAGGGTGTTACCATCAACATTTGGTCAAACAAGAATGCGTGTAAATTGATTAATTTTTGTTATTAGAAATCAAATTATTTTTCAATTAGTATACAATACAGGACCAGGACACATATTCGGCTAAGCTTCCGGTTGACTGAATCTGAATTTACGGGCCTTTGCTTTAATTCCTGTCATCCTGATTCAGTACAGCCACTTCGTCCACTTTGTTCGCCGCTGAACGCCAGTTTGTCTAAAACTGCTTCTCGCTTCCAACAGTTTTTTGGGTCTTCTTCAGGTTCCACTTGACGATGGCCTAATATTTTTCGATTAAGCGGAGCTGGAGTGTTGAGAGGGTTCCCCAAGTAACAATCTAAATGCTTGGAAGATTTATTCTTATTTTATCATTGTTTTATCATAGCATTCCTTCCACCCTGTGGTTGTATTACGGTTTTGTGTGCTTGTCATAAAATCAGGCCGCCAAGTCGTCTATAAAACTGTTTTATGACTACTAAATTAAAACTCAGACTTCATAGTTTTAACGGTAGCTGTAAGGTGGTTCTGCATCACTACTTATAACTGAAGAATAAAACCAAAACAAAACATACAATTATGTTTTATGGTACACTTTTTATGACCGATATAAAACTTGAAGCAGTCTTAGACCTTCATTAAAGCTTCATTACAACTATCATCTTTATCAGAGGCCTAAGATTCACAGATAAGAAATATACTGCTACAACAAAAAATACTCTGAAATTTTTTGTCTTTATAAAAAAACAAATCTATTCAGATATATATGAAATGAAAACCCCTTCAGTGCTTCTGAACACGATGAAGATGAGACGATCGACAATATGAAACTCCTGGAGGAACTACAGTTATACGATCCCTACATAAGGCACAGTGCGGTGAAGGAGCTCTTAAAAATATTGAACAAGCGGCTTTCCGATACACTTCCGAAAGATCCACGAACCCTTCTTAAAGTAACGCCAACAGTTTCACTAAATCCGTTTGGAGATGGCCAGTATTGGCATCACGGCTTTAAACCTTGTATTGAAAAAGCTTTTCCAATAAGCATTTCTTACATTTTTAATACAAGCGAAAATAGGAGGATCGCTTGGAATGTTGACTTTTTGACAGGTGGTCATGGTTTTTGTTTTGTTTTGATTCGCTGTACCGAATAAAACCAGCAAGCTAGTTATATAGCTTAAATATAACTTAACGCTCTCAATTTGGACTACGAAATGCTAAGATACAACCATTAGGTTTATGTTATGCTATAGAATTCCAATCTAGGAGAATATGTTATATTGAGGTATTTTTAAGGAGTAGCAAGTTATAACGAAAAAAAATGTCGCCGTATGAACAAATTTCACACAGTATGAATAATTACGCTTTAATTGATAGGCAATAAAACACTTTCATACATCTATGTATAATTAAATAATATGTGACTGGTTATTGCTCAACAGTAGTAACAGTTTTGTACTAAATAGATAATCTTTGAATGACTCTTTAATGCATGGTGCTAATGCAGACAAATTAAAAATATCCCTATATTTTAGTATTCATATGGCGCACTAAATTTATGCTCCTATTTGGTATAATAATCACCATAAATATTGCACGGCATGCTGTGAAGCATATACAGATTGGTTTAAAATTATAATAAAGTCGTCTTATTTTCAATGTACAATAATATCAGCAATTATTACCAACTGACAAGGATCATGATTTCACATCAAACATCGAAAGAATAAAACCACAATAAAATATTTCTCAATATTAACTATCATCCAAAAACCCCAACTTAAAACCTTCAAAGTTGTCAAAATGTTTTGCGTATCATGTTTTATCAACTTCTTCAGGAGCGATTTATGCGGTTGTAATATAGTTTTATGGTAGTCATTAGAAGGCTGTTAAAACTGTCTGACCTGGAGGAGGTTTTATGTTTTCATTTTTAACAATCACGTCTAGAGTGTGATAAAACTGACATAAATCCTATGCTCCTAAAGTAGTTCGCATATCAAGTTTTAATGACTGCATTAAAACTGGGCCAATTGGCCATGACATGGCTGTATTGCGGTTCTCAGGAAATTGTTAAAGCAATGTGGTCGTCAGTGAAGGTTTTATAATTTGGTTATATCAACTGCTATAAAACTTAAATAAAACAAAAATTGTTGCTTGGGAATTTTCCACTACGTATGGCCTTTTTTCCGTAATAGCACGGAACAATGGTGTTGCTGCAGGAAAGGCAGCAGATGTTTTTCCAGACACTTGTTCACGTATATTTTCTGGTTCACGGTCCCGGTTTCAATGAAAATGTAGCTTGTCAAGCCACAGGTACAAATAGCCTGCCAAACCAACATTTCTTGGGGAACTACGACAGTTTCATATGCTTGAAAATGTCTGCCTCCTTTCTCCTTCCGGTTTCGTATAAAACTCCTGCCCAGGAAGCTGTTTGAAGTCTGCCTTGACGTGGTTCGGTGCGAGTAGTTCGGATTTTAGCGATGCGCGTGCAAAATTTTGATGCAAGAGGAACATGCTTGGACGATATTTTGATAACTGAAGAGCAAACGACAAAATTAAAATAGAGGCATCATTCCTGATCCAGGTCCTGATTAGCCTCCTAAAATTTGAACTACTTTAGTAAGAAACTGACTTGGCACAAACCATTTCAAGTTTCTATGGGAATTACTATGAGAAAACTTATGTTTTTGTTCATATCTATCTAACAATTCACCACATCACTATGCTTTTAAAAATGATTGTAGCAAATTTTCTCAGCTATAACTTTGTTCAAAACCACTTTTCAATCAAATGTAAAGTGAACAAAAATTATGCTCATTCAACTGTTCAGCAGGCAACATTGGTGTTTCTAGCGCGTAGAATAGAGCACAAAAATCGTGGCTACTATGTCACACTGCAGAATACAGTGTTGCCCACAGAACAGCTGTTTGATCATGTCATAAGATTATCAATCTCTTAAAAAATTAAATACAATTTAATTTGACGTTTGGCTGAAAAACAATATTCCGCAAAGTTATAGCTTAGAAAATTTCCCGTAAGAATAGTTATAGAAATTTTCGAAAAAGCAATATGGAAAATTGGTAGAAGACAATGAACAAAAAGTTTGGTTTTCCCATAGTAATTTCCATACAAACTTCGAATAGTTTGTGCCAAGTTAGTTTCTTACGGAATTAGATTAAATTTTGGGAGGCTAATCAGGACCTGATTTGAAACCGTTTGAGAACTGTGGAGCGAAAATTTCAAATTTTGCATCAGTCTAGTGTTCAGGTTGTTTAACTGCTCGATTAAACGAAATGCCTCAAGTTTAAATCGACCAAATTTTGATCGTAACACTCTTTATAAGAAATATCTAAATGCTGAGGTTTTTGTATGTAATGTAATAGTAGTGACTTTAATGGCTGATTGATTCATTTATCTTTATTAAGGAGGCCTTCAGCCTGAGGCTGGTTCGCCTCCAAACAGTGGCTTTAATGACTAAAATAACGAAAATAGTGACCAATAGTGACTTTTATTGGTCGCAAAAATATGGTTCCAATCTTCCGTTGATAGCGGTTGCCACTCCGAGAAATTTTATAAACTCATAATATTTAATATTTTTCATGTTTCTTGAAAAATAAGCATGAATTGAATAAGCAAGAGCATGGTTCAATCATAGAGGTAACTCTAAGACTAGTAGGTCCCGAAGACACGTGCTCAACTTTTTGGCTAAGCTCTGGTACTATCTTCGGTCCCAAGCTAATCGATTCACCCCTCGAAACATAGGAAAATCGACTAACCCCTCATTTTATCTGTCAAACTTTCATAGCTAATCAAAACAAACATTGTGTAGTACTAGAATGGGGTACGTTAATCGATTTGCTTGGGGCCAATAGGCTAGTCAAATAGTGAGCCAATTTTAAATCGTTAGTTTCCACCAGTTGGTTCAATTCTAACTTCTATTTCATCACTTTGCACTATTTTGTCTTCTCCGATTTTTTTTTTAATAAGAAATTTATTAAGTTGAAGCACAGCGAAAAATGATGATGCAATGTGTTTGGCAACGTGAAGAGCTGCAATCTAGAATTAAATGTAGATTGGACTTAAAATCTCGATAGTGGAGAATTAGGGACTTCAGGGCCATCTTTTTACTTAAAAGTTCGAAATCTCTAAGACAAATAAATTGAAAGATTGAATTGCTTGAATTTGTGCTGCTTGAATTTTTTTTCTATATTTCATAGTCCTTGAACAATTTAAATTCTCCTGAAAAATAAAGAAACATCTTATGATTTAGGACATCTTTTTTTCAAAGACCTGCAACCACAATACTGGAATAGTGCAAGAATAGATCGTTGCCAAAAGCAAATTTGCGTGAAATTTTAACAACTAAACATTTAGTTTGCTATAATCTGATTACAAGCGCGCACACATCACCATCATTTTTATAATAAAGTAATGAAATTGGGTTAGGTTGTTAGCGGAATGCTCAGAAAAGGGTATCTTCCATTTAATTCAACTTAATTGATTTTGGTATCCATGACAGATACGTATTTCGACTACAAAGTACTTTTAATTAAACAATTTGGTGAGAACTTTTAGCAAGCACTGAAATTTTCAAGAAATTCCAGAGAACTTCTAAGAAATTTAAGTAT